TACAAAAACGTTCCTAAATAAATGATTAAACATATAATTTTTTTGTTGTTAATGAAAACAAAATTTTTGGCCGTAAAGTCAAGTTTTCACAACACTGGTTAAAAACATCATATATCATAGATCATCCAGGTCATATTTTTAAAATCTGGAAAATTATTTGGGTAAAATATCTTTTAATTTTACTTTTAGCTGAGTAGTTTCAATTTTTTTTCTTCCAAACTAGATTAGTTTAAAATTTTAGCAAAATTTTTCTTGCCTAAGTAAATGACTTAAAATGAACTTTGATGTAATTTAACCATGTCATGTTATATAATACAGAATTTTATTATTTCATGTGCTGAAGCTCATATCATGTGATACGCTGAAGCTCATATCATGTGATACGCTGAAGCTCATATCATATCATATGCTGAAGTTCATATCATGTGATACACTGAAGCTCATATCATGTGATACACTGAAGCTTATATCATGTGATACACTGAAGCTTATATCATGTGATACACTGAAGCTTATATCATGTGATACACTGAAGCTCATATCATGTGATACACTGAAGCTTATATCATGTGATACACTGAAGCTTATATCATGTGATACGCTGAAGCTCATATTGCATTTAACTAAGATTTAATTAAGAGAACTTATCAAAAATTTTGAATTTTGAAATGTGGGAACATTTTTAGATGTGGTACTGTTTTTAGCAATATGCTACCAAATGGGCATAATGGGGTTTAAAATATGGGGCATAATGGGTTATTCCCTATTTTACCACAAGTGTTTTTAAATAAATTGTAGACTAATTATATATGACATTTTTACGAAAATAAAATATATGAGCTCAACGCACACATACATATATGGTCTGAATGTCACTCAAGGGGGTGGATACAAAAAGAATTATTTATTGTTTGGTTAAGAAAATTTATTCAATATTTAGGGGTCAAAATGAGCTCTCTATTTTACTGATTTTAAATGAACATAAATCACACTAGAGTATTGAATTGATTAACACAGTGAGAGAAATTGGAATAATTGATTTGTGTTTGCCTACTCATTGTACGCATCAAATACAGCTCTTGGATTTTATGAAACTACACTTCTCAAAAGCTAAAAGCAAGCAAGCTATTTGAAATTGAGCTTCCAGACAAACTTAATTTCAAATAGATGCACTTTTTGGCTCACCCTACTTGGAAGCTTCCACAATTGCCATAAATGGCTTTCGAAAAGCAGACATATAGACATTTAATAGAATTTTTTTTTTTTCGAAGCAGACTTTCTGGCAGCAGAAACTACAAATATTAATTTCATTGAAATTAATATCAGTAGTTTGTGTTTAAAGTTTCTCAACTAGTGTTGAAAGTAATTACTTGTTGATTAGTGTTGAAAGTGATTATTCAACTAGTGTTAAAAGTGATTAGTGTTGAAAGTGATTACAAGTTACTCAACTAGTGTTGAAAATGATTATCACAGCTGGGCACATTACTTGTGTACTTGTTTAGAAAAAAAAGATAAAAGACCAAGCTTTACTTGTGAACTATGCCTAAAGTCTACAACATATGTTATTGTTAAATTGTATACCCTATTTTGCCCCTAGCATGGGGCAAAATGGTTTTTTTCTAAAGATTTTTAAATGATAAACAATTTTTTTATTTAATGCTATTGACTTTTTCTTTTGTCAGATAGTTGTTTGTGTTATCTTTTATCATTTAAAAAAAAATTGTTTTTATATTAAATATTGTTGCCAGTTTTTTGATGACTTTTCTTTAAGTACCCCATTATACTCCAGTGTCCCCTACATTGTTTAAACCACTTTATTTTAGGGAAGAACATTTAAGTTTTAAAAATTGAAATCAAGTTTTTTCTTTTTTAAAAGAATTTAAAAAGTTTTTTTTTATAAATCTTAATATTTTTCAAAAAGCATAATTATTTTCTTTTTGAATTCTTGTTTATTTGAATATTTACAAAACTTAATTTTTGAAATAAAAAAACTTTGCTTGTAGAAATGTACAAAAATGTTGGTTTAAAAAAAATATGATGAAATACATTAAAGATACTAATGAATAAAAGATATAATAACACCTTAAAGTATCATTAAAAGACACATTAAAGTATCATTAAAAGACACCTTAAAGTATCATTAAAACCTTAAAGATACTTATGATTAAAAAACACTTTTTTTAAACTTAAAAAAGTTTTTTCTAGATCTTTTTCTATCACAAAAAAAAAGTGGTCTTTTTCTTTTTCTTGAGTTTATTCTAATAAAGCATGTAAATTATTCTAATAAAATTCTAAACTAATTCAAATATAATTTATTTTATAAATTATTTTTGATATCTTAAATACAAATTCACTAATATTTTTTCGAATCATAATAAATTTTAATTAAAAATTACCTTTCATCAGTAGGCTCAATGCGAACATCATCAAATACTTGGTAAACCACCCCATGCTTCTCTAAAGATTTTATCGCCTCTTTTACAGCAGGGAGGTTAAGAAG